GAGTTCTCTGCTGTGAATCCAGGGCTGAGTGGAGGTTCAGAGTCTCGGGACCTCAGAGTTTTCTCCGCCTCTGTGGTGAGAGTCAAGCCCTCCATCAACTCGTCCACGATGTCATTGGCACAGCACAGCTACAGATCACATGAGCCCATCAGTCTCAAACATAAAGCCACCAGCTGTACTGAAAGGATTGAGTTCAGCTGAGCATCACCTTCTGAAGTTGAGGATCTACTCTCCATATCCTCAGGGTTTGATCTCTGGACCATGTGACCAGCTGGCAGTCTTTGGAACCTAAAATACAGAATGGACAGTGGAAGACAATAACACTTGTCTGTTCTTAAAGTCGAAATGAAGCACTCATTCACAGAATTATCGCCACCTACTGGTTTCTCCTCTCACCTTCTTTCTGCGGCCTCCACTGAAACTCAAGCACAACATCGTCGTGGCCCACAAATGCGTGAACAGGACTGTTCAGTTCCAGTGTGCTCCACAGCAGGAGGCTGTTCTCTCGCCGTAGCTGAGGAACCATCACTGTAACCAGGCCGTTAGAGAAAGGCTGAACAGAACGAGAGGAAGAGGGCGCAGTGAGTACTTTATAATATGCTACTTCATGTTTACAAGAATTATACATGATGCCAGTGTAAGGGGGGAAAGTACACTACTGGACAAAAAATTAAGAATGTTTTGTTTTTGCAAGACGTCTCTCATGCTCTCCAAAGCTGTATTCATTTGGCCAAAAATTATTTTTTTTTAAATATTATTACAATTTAAAGTAACTGTTAACTATTTGAGTATGTTTTCAAATCTAATTTATTCCTGTGATGAAACGCTAAATTTTCAGCATCATTACTGCAGTCTTCAGTGACACACAATCCTTCCGAAATCATTCTAATATGCTGACTTAATGCTTAATTATTAATAATGATTTTTATTATTATGAATGTTAATCAGTGTTTCCACAAAAATAATAACCAGCAAAAATGTTTGCAATGCAAAATGTTTCCTGACCAGCAAATCGGCGTATTTGATGATTTCTGAAGGATCATGTGACACTGAAGACTAAAGTAATGATTTATTGATTTATTTAGTCATTTAGCAGACGCTTTTATCCAAAGCGACTTACAAATGAGGACAATAAAATGATAATAATATTACAATAATGATGCTGAAAATTCAGATTTGCCACCACAGGAATAAATTAGATTTTAAAATACATTCAAATATAACACAGTTATTTTAAAATTGCAATAATATTTCGCAGTGTTACAGTTTTTTACTGTATTTTAATCAAACAAATGTAGCCTTGATGGCCATGAGTGATATCTTTCAAAAACATAAAAAAATACTAATTATTCCAAACTTTTGACTGGTAGTGTTACTGTCACAACATCAATAACAATACAGCAACCTTTTACATAGGGAAAAAAAATGATAATACCTAAACTGAATATTTAAATAATGGTTCAAACCGTACCGTGTATCTGGCCTTCCACACAGGCACCTGACATGACAAGATATCAAGGTACTTCCGCGGTTGTCTGTAGTCCCAGAACTTTTGGAGTAAATCATTATAGACACAGAATCAAGTGTAAGTTAAACTGCAGCAGAATAACAGAATGTGAACAATATGATCAACAATTGCGATTCTAATCACCCGAACAGAGTTGTCCTGACTGGAAGTAGCCAGGATGTACTCGTTATCAGGGTGCCAGTCCAGACCATGAATCTTTGACAGGTGGGCGGCTACATACTCCACAGCAGTGTTTGGTTTCTGAAGCACAGAACAGTAAGCAGACGGATTAACAGGCAAGCAAAGGTTGATTCATTGATAACTGATACTAATGATGATTTTACAATCATGAATTCACAATCACCCTCTTGTCCCAGATTCTGACATCACCATCATGACTTGACGCCAGACAATAGTGATTCCGTCTGTTCCACTTCACCTGAGAGGCTCCAGCTATTATACAGAGGAAATGTGACAAAATGAAAACAATAAATAAAAGAATGGACGTTGCATAAATAAACTGATTGATGAGTCTTTCCACTCACCCACAGCAGACAGAGCCACGGTTGGCTTTCGAGTGTCCCTGGAAATGAAAAAAGAAAAGCGTAAAATATGGGGGGAAAAGACCTTTATCATGCACTCTTTGTCCACACTCACCTTGTGTCCCATATGTAGATGTATGTGTCCACAGAACTCGTGACAAGAAATTCTGGTTCAAACCATGACCAGTCCAAATCACTGAAACAGTAAAACAGTGGGAAGTTATTTATTATAATTATTTGTCATATTAGAATAGAATATCTACATTCCCAAGTCAGATCAATTCATTTATAGAATGCTTTTCACAATACACTTTGTTCAAAGCAGCTTTTTCTGAGTCTCATAATTTCAATGTTTACAGTATAATACTTTAATGCCTAATTGTCCACAATTTAGCAGCTTAGAGCTGAGCGATAGTATATTTTACATTTGGTGAATGTAAAATTACATTTTGCTCATGCATTTTCTTGTCATTGTTTGGATAAGACAAAATGATCAGGGGCCTCATTTAAAAAACTTTACGTAGAATTCATCCTAAAAGTGTTCGTACGCACGAAAGCTAGATTCTGCGTACGCACAAAAGTTTTCAGATTTATAAAACCATTCGTACGCCAGAACCTGCGCAAAAATCCTTTTATAAATCCCAGTCAGAGAAAGATTGTGCGTACGTGCATTTCCACCCCGTCTCCTCCCCGAAATCACCATATATGGAGATTACAACGCCTAGTTTTACTATGCATAACCTCATCTGCATATCATTTCCATGCATATTCCCATCC